GGGTTTGAAACGGATCTCATTTTTTTTGTCCCGAACCGAACCGTACCGATTCTAAACAATGCCATGACCGGTTCTCATAAAATGAGAACCGAAACCGGACCGAACCGGACCGAAGTATGATTTAATTATTTAAATTTACATTTATACCATTATTTTGACTAGTGCCTTTACATTTTCATTGTCTTTGCTAGTTCATAGGAAGCCTGGAATCGGACCGATGTATGGTTTAATCATTTAAATTTGTACTACTATAATTTATCTGAAATTTATTAATTATGTAATACTACCTTCGTCCTAAATTGATTTGCAAAATTAACTTTTTTTTGTCAAACAGATTCATTTTATTCACTTAACTAGAATGTCAATTTTTAATTATATTTAATTTGGAGCTTGCAACTTTGAAGAAATTTCAATGTAGTTTCTAAATATGTTTATTTTAATTATTACAAATTGAATTAATTATCAATGAAGAGAATTTAACTCTAACATTGGTTGACCAAAAAATATTAACTTTGCATGTCAATTTGTGATGGAATGAGTATGAAAATTGATAAATTGTGTAGATTTTTGGAGGACGACTAAACTTTAATTGTCTCTTAAACACTTGGAAAAAGTGGCATTGTTTGGTATTGGTATGACATGGTACCGTCCCGTTTCAAAATGAAACCGTACCGAACGGGTTTAGGTCTAAGACCGAACCAAACCGAACCGTTTGAATAGTAACGGTACGGGTACGGGTTCGGCCAAATATTGGACCGGACCGGACCGCGCCCACCCCTAGTAACATGTACAACGTACGGAGTATAAAATACTTTGGGTACTTTTTATAAAGCACTGTAATGATTGCTATAATTTTTTTTGGATGAAATGATTGCTATAATTTTAAAAACTTAACAAGTACTCCCTCCGTCCCATTTATTTTGTCCCGTTTTACCTTTTCGGGAAGTCCCACTTATATTGTCCCATACCATATTTGGCAAAGTTTGTGTGGCTCTAAATCATTCTTACTTTATTCTTACTTTATCAATTAATATCAACCACACAAACCCACTTTTCTTAATAACCGTGCCACCCTCTTCCGGGACAATATAAATGGGACGGAGGGAGTAATTTTTTTTATTAAGTTTGACTGCTCGTAAGGAAACATAAGCGGGTTACAAAATGACAACAAGTCTTCTGTTTGTCATCCGTCCTAGAACTAGACTTAGAATTAATACATTCGTAGAAGTAATGAGATTCGTTGACCCCACTTTGGACTTAACTGAGCCAATGACTTCTCATCGCCTCACCTAAGTTCTAGACTTTTCTTGGCAGAAAAACACAACAAAACCAAAACAAAGTAAAAATCTAAATAAAAACGAAACATAAATAAAGCTAAAGAAGCAAAATAAAATTCTTGAACCCTAGCACCTTGTTCAACTCCTGGCGGTGGTTCAAGAGGAGGCCGGATCACCGCTATGATTGTTGACGCGAAGTGGATCAAAACATCAATCAATCTGAGTGGATTCCTCTTGCCCCGTCTCCCATCCGCTGTGCTCACTGCCCAACCATCTTCAACGAAACATCTATCCTTCCCGATTAGTCTTCATGTTCGCTAGTCTCTCCTGACATCACCTTGTTCTCGACTGGTGGCTTGGAAACCGTCCTCATCAATTGGTAATTGAGTCAGCACACAACTTTACCCGATTTGTGCCTTAGCGATGTTCGAAAAACTTGCTGAGCAGTTGAAATCTGCTCCTAGATCTCGTTGCTACAAGAAAAAGAAAGACCGGACCATGTGACTGTCGTCACCGCCGTAAGAAACACCCAAAGATTAACCCTAGAGACGGCCGCAAGATGTTAGTGGAGAACTCTTCAAAAAAAACTTGACAAGTAATTAACAATGTATATTCCTTTGTTGGTTTATTGTGCAAACCAACCTCATTAAGGCCTGCCGCCCAACAAATATATTTGGTCGGCCATGGGATCGGCCAGAACCTTATGGTGACCAAAACCCTGATACCATTCATCACAGGGGCGGAGCCAGAGCACATTCCGCACTGAGCCGGTACAAAGAATATTTTTGGGAAAAAAAATTAGGCCGAAATTTTTTACACTAAAAACTAAGGTATTTTTAAAATTTGGAGTGGGCCAGGGCCTAGATTGGCCCAACCCTAGCTCCGCCCATGCCATTCAAGCACGTACGGGATAGAATAATCCTACGTCAATATCAGAAGGTCATCCATACCATGGTGTACCAATGATTCACATCTTGTTACTGAATTTACCTTGCTTGCTGATGAACAAGTGAACGACTCTCCAGTCTCCAACAATGTACTGCATCGGAGCAACCAGGGACTGTACATGCCTATACAAGATTTAACATTGGGAAAACTATCAAATAAGCCCCCGTACTATGCCGAAAAAGTCGATTAGGCCCTCATACTTTACAAACACTCAATTAAGTCCTCGAACTATTAAAAAACGTTCAATTAAGCCCTTTCGGTCGGTAAGTAAAGGGTTTCCCGGTTAAACGGCGGCGACGGCGACGATGTGCTCGAACCCCAACAACGGCGGCTGCCGGGAAACGGGTTACATTTAACCGGGAAACCGGTTACTTACCGACCGAAAGGGCTTAATTAAACGTTTTTTAATAGTTCGAGGACTTAATTGAGTGTTTGTAAAGTACGAGGGCCTAATCGACTTTTTCGGTATAGTACAGGGCTTTTTTGATAGTTTTCCCTTTAACATTTTATCTCTCCAAATACGGAGTACAACTCTTAAGCTCTGCCAACAGTTGATCATTCTTGGTCTCAAAAGATATTTATGTCAGTTAACATGATTGGATGCATAATATCAGAGGCAAAAGGAAAATAAAATTAAAAAGATAAGATATGATAAAAAAATAAGATAACAATAAAGATGAATATGCAATAAAGATAAAAAAAATGATAAGATAAAAAGGATAAAAAGAATATAGATAAAAAAAACTTAAGAGGGTAAAGAATATAAGAAATATACACAAGATAAAAAGATAAATGGATAAAAATATGAAAATAGAGTAAATATGAGTATAAACATGTTTTGTTATCGTAAAAAAAAAGAGTACTGTTTTCTTATTTGGTAGAGTGAGTTATATAAACTTTGAAAAGTAATACAATATATTGTTATATTTAAAAATTGTTAATGTTGAAATATGACAGTAAATTTCCAGGTTAGAATGATAGTAAAATATTGCTATTTATGAGGGGAAATTGTAGTCTTATTTTGATATTTTACATTGTTTTTATTTATATTTCGGGGACTGTCTCATTCTTTATTTCTTTGAAAAAAAATATTTTAACAAGTAGTTAAATATAGATGGAGTAATACTTCATCCTTGAAAGGCCTCATTCGAACGAATAATTATTTGAGAAGATTAAAATTGAGTGTTTTATCACAACGTGGTGGAGAAAGTAGTTCCATTTTAGCAAGCTCCTTTCTTGGAGTTGAAATCAAAACTCTCTGGGTCTCCCATTGACATCCTCTTTCCACCCCCGCCCTCTGGGGGAGTATACTTTTGTTGGCTCTATCCTTTTAAAATCAACGTGTTGACTGTGCTGCTCTTAAGTTGACCTTGTTGACCATCTAGCTCTGCTAATTAACCTGCAAAATAATCACTAAAAAAAAACTAAACGTATATTAGTGACTCGAAACGCGTCAGACGCTGTCTTAAGGAATTATTTCCGGCGTACGGAAATTTCCCCCAAGATATAACGAGCCCTTCGGTACGAGACCGGTAACATAACTAACGAGAAGAAAATTATTATGTGAACCCAGTAATAAAAGTATAATTTATGTATTTTCATATAGCTAAAATGTACACTTTCTCAAGTAATTGTTCCACCCCAAAGATTATACATACGATACAGCAATAGCTATATACTTATAACGTATGTACTTCGTATAATGATTCATCTTTCACTTCCTTCTTGTTTGATCATCTAGGTATGCATGGGTTTTATACTCTTCAACCAAGAGGGGGTAATTGCTTCATAATAAAGGACATTAAATAATAATGATAATAAGAAGAATAGGCAACGTATGAAACTTGCCAAAGTAAGTGAGTGTTTTATATTCATGTATACGTTACATGTATGCATTAATAGTAAATATGTATCGTTAATAATAAACGAATATTTAAAAATAGTGTAGAAAACACAATTAAAAGAAATAATAGTTTATTCATTTGAAATATTCTCAAAATTTCCAACAACTTTTACTTGAGGGAGATTTGGTTGTTAATAATGTGAAGTTCTATAGTATTTCAATATAAATTTTGGTGAATGGTGTATACATTGTGTACACAGTTTCACACAGGTAGGAGCATGCAAGCTAAGGATGTGGTCTCTCACACACCTTTACACATGAGTCCCATTTTTTATTACTCTCAGTTAGAAAGTTCCCACTTTCCTTTTCTCGACGTCCCATTACAAGGTTCTCATTTTCATTTTAGGAAACAATTAACAATCTTAAGTGACAAATTAGTCATTAAGTATTAAAAATAATACATTTATAACATCATAGTTATCAATACTAACACATTATAATATATACCTATTAAAATTATTTCTCAAAATATACCCGAAGTACTTTATTTAATTATCACCTAAATAACTATGTCGTTTGCTATGGGAACCTTCTAGCGGGACAGAGGTAGTACAATTTTTATGTGTAGAACCCACGTATTTCCCAATTTTTATGAATGTTCATTTTTTTATATCACTTTTAATCCACTCTGAATCTGACATCCATAATCCCTTGAGTGATACATAGTATTTAGGGAGATTTGTGATTGCTTCTACTTTAAAAAAGTGATTTTTTTAAGTGATTTTGGAGAAAGTAATTAATAGTAAAAATTGATAGTGTTTAATAAATGAGTGATTTTTATGTAATAGAAAAACAGTTTAAAACAATCCTTCAACTGCTTCCGACTTTTAAGTACTCCAACACTCATTCCAACTTTTTTTTACTCCTTAATTTTTTGCGGACACTCTAATTTTTTTCGCACTAAATATGTGTAGTGGTCTAAAACATGTGTTTGAGTGGTCTAGAACATGTGTTGTTCAGTAAAAAGTGGAAACGCATGAGCACAACATAAACAATCTCATATGGTCAGGAAGAGGGCGACGGATGGGATCGACCTAGATTTCATTACTGATTGAATCCCCAATAGTTGAAATCCCCAATTCAAACCGGTGTTGATGATGGCCGCCGCCGCCGCCGCCGCCACATCAACCCAGCAGTGCCACCTCCTCCGGCTAGTCCTATCTTGCCGCAAAATTACAGCTCAGGTGACCCACCCCCAGACGGCCTCCATCATCGCGATGGCTTCATCGGCCGAGCAAGAGTTCGCGGCTCAGCATAGAGCCAGGCTGAACCGCTTCCCCCGGTCCCACAACTTCTGGGATTCAAAGATCGCCGCCAGGGTCGGCGAGAAGCTCGGCCACCGCCTTAACGAAGCCGGCGTCTTGCAAGTAGAAATTGATCACCGGGAAGAACTCGCCAGGCCCATTCACCACCGTAAGATGGTGTCGCCGCTCTTCGATGCCGTTAAGCGCGCAGGTATCGGCTTAGCAGGCGGCGAGAAATTGGAGGCCTGGACTTTGAGCTAGTTTTTGGGTCGTTTGGCTATTGGGCCTGTGAAAAAAACGTGATGGATCTGGGCTTTTAGATCCAGTTAGATTACTCTACACATATCCAAGTGATCCAACCAAATTTTTATGTAGCAATAGTACTCCATTTCCCAAGGATCTTATTCTCAGAACTAACAAATCAGACTCAATTTTGTATTTCTTGATTTCCCTACTTTCACACAAGTTTCAAGTTTGTTGTGTTTAATTTGTTAGCAAATGATGTTGAATTTGGTAATAATAATATTTTCTGCAAAATGACATATATAATATATAGTATAAAAGTAAAATAAAAAATCTTGAAAAACGCTCTTATAGACAACATAATTTATAATTTCATTTAAAAAGTATTGACAATTTTTTGTTTTGGACAAAAGTGATGAATTGAGTACGAGTATACGAACATTGGACTTCGGAAGGACGCAGTGAGAAAGTGAAAATCAGTGTATGAATAGATGCCACTTAAGTCTAAAGTCGTACACACTGCATTCTTATTTACATCCCATTTTTTCAATTTAGCAAAATTGGAATTTACATTCCTTCTTTAAATGAAATTGAGGTGCAAAGATCTAACTTAAACTTATGAGGTGCAAAGTCAAGTTCTCCCAATATCATTTTGTATTGATTAAACAACATAATTCAAGAAAATGAAAAGTAATAGATAATCAAATTTCAATGTTTTACCAAAGAACCATCATTAAATGTTGCATATAATATGCTCAAACCATCAGTACTCCAGTTACTAGTCTGGTTATGGTCTACCCAATATGTTATGGACCTATGGTCCTGTTCCCAGTTAGATCCTAGCCAGCGCGCCCAATTCCGTTTGTAATATAAGTCCCCCACCCAAAGAAAAAGTTTAGATGAAGTCCACCTAGATAGTTAAACAGAAACAGAAGTTGTAGTTTGCAAGGTAGAAGGGCTAATTCACAGCATGTCTTGAATGGAATAAGGAACAAGTTACCATCAAGGCATGCCATTAGTGGAATATACCATTCTAGAGAGGAGCACCACATCATGTTAAGCTACAAGTCTCCCTTTAGTTAATCTGGGGTGGGGACATAACTAAGTAGCTAGCAACTTTGCCTCACTCAATTTGGCCATCATATATGAAGCCGCGTTCTCTCTTGCTTCAGAAGGATTTGGGCATACACTACCTTGACACACATGGCACCCTTCTTTTACCATAACATTGGCAGCAAATCCATCTGCATAGTGGGAAAACCTCATCAACTATGATCCAGTGAATGATCAGGTGTTCTAAAAATATCTTAACGAAAATGCTCCACCTAACAGCCCAGGCTCCGCCTCGAGCTTTTTTTAGATGTTCTAGATTAGTGTTGTACCTCTATATGGAAAGACTTGATATGTTGGAAGTTTCCACTTCATCTGACGACACAATTCATCCAGTTTCTGCACACTCAGTTGATTAGTGATCTGTTATATATGCAGTAATAAAAAATGGGAAATCATGTGAAAAACAAAACTCAGCATTATATATACAGTAGCATCATTTTTTTAATATAGGAAAAGGGCCAAATAAGCCTTTCTAGTTTCTTTTGTAAAAAAAAGCCTTTCTAATTTCTACTATTTCAAAATCATCACCTAGACCCATATACTTGTGTCATAAATCTCTCTGACCCATATGACATGAATGTGACCTGATTCAGCACATAAAAGTGACGCATTGCCTTTTTAATAAACCCAAATCATGGTTCGATTCATGTTAGCCGACCCCAAATATTTTGGGATTAAGGCTTGGATGTTGTTGTTGTTCTTTCCATTTCCCCTCTTTTTCCTTGTTTTCTTACACTGTTTCATAATATGGTTTCTGCCATTGCTCTCGCCTCGGCGCTCCCTAAAGCTTCTATCCTAGACAGGCCATTTATTTTCTTTTTTTTTTGTCTTGCTTCCGCCAGATCGTGCTATCTACTTGTACTCAGCTTCTTCTATTTTGAGTTGGCTAAAGAGTGAGTCAGAACATAGAGTGAAAGAAATCTTAATAAAGGCTTTATTTTGAGGATAAAAACCAGATAAAAAGCAGGAATAGGAAGAGAATTGAATGGTCTAGAGCTGGACAGAAACAAGAGCATGGAAGAGAAGGAGAAAGAGATAAAAACAAAAAGGAAAAGGAAATAAAAAAGAAATGCAAAGGCCATATAAGCAAGTCACCTCCTAAAGCACGAACTTTATGTCATCTTGAGTAAAATGATCTTTGTTTATGTAGACAGATTTATCAGACATTTTTTATGTACAAGGGTCTAGGTGATGAATTTGAAATAGTAAAAGAATTTATTTGACCCTTTCTTCATTAAGATTTAATTGTTCTAAGTTGAACAATGATTCATTCTGTAATCGCTTTGTATGTTACATCATAGTGTGGTGTGTATAGGGCTCTAATCTGTAGACTCGATGCTCTGATGGTGAAGCACATTGGCAAACACTATATATACTACTATGGTCTTTATTAGTTGCAACAGTTTGAGTTTTGTACAATATTTACATTACAAATTATGTACAAGAACTGTTTAATTGGTCTCAATGTAAATTTGCAAAAAAGAATTATCTACGGTTCTTATAAATACTCAATTATATAAATGGTCAAAGTCTTGCATTAGCAAACGTAAAAATGATATTGTTACAACTTACAACTAAATACGAATGGAGGAAGTACATTGGCTAAAGGCTTTCTTCTAATGCCTACAATAGCCTCAAGTACCACACTACCACAATATTTTCAGATTCAATTAAATTTTTTAAATTACAAAGTACTACTAACGTCACTCAGCTACAATAGCAAAGCAGAAACGAGAACCCCAAAAAAGAACAGTGAAGCCATGATGGATAAGTTAAAAGATACGGAGCAAGTATAAATGATAATACCTTGCAATGGTTTTTCACACTGACAATGGCCTCAGACAAACTCTCTTCTTCAAGTGGTTGACTAGTTCTCTGTTGAACTTCTTCCTTTTCCAGATGGGGATTGTCAGTATCTTTAGTAAGTTCTGTCATGTGATGAATCATTTTCATCACCATTATAGCATAGAAAGAAATATTCCGTCCATCATATTTATCTTTTTCCATTCTTTCCATTTTCATCCGTCCCACGAAGTTCTTTTCATGCCATAATTGGTAACATTTGTATGGTTCAAACTCATTCATATCTACAAATTCAGTATCAACAAATATGTACTCCACTTTCATGTCCCAATGATAATGGGGCAGAGGTAAAACACAGACATAAATCCTTCATTGGTTTCTAGTGCTACTTTTGTGCTCTTTTAACTTTCATTTTAGATAGAGAAGTTGTTTTAAAACAACCATCACTTTAGGATAGCATTAATTGCTCATTCCCCACCATTACTCTTCTCCATGTAAGAATGTTACATTGTACTTAAAAACAATAATAAGGGTATTCCAGTTGATTTTTAGACTTAAAACATTTTTATTAAGGAGAACTTTCTAAATATGCAGTGGCATTAGTGCCTAATTTTTGCTTAATGGACAGATTCATTTATATAAACAATGTGAAAATGAAAGTAATAAAAGGGAATAGAAAGTCCAAAAAGAACCTTTTTCAAAGCCCAGTCTCCATATTGATCCATGTGTATATATAATTCTAAGATAACCTTTTTCACTGAAAAAGACTACTATACTACTATCCCAGATAGAAAAAAATCTATAGATTCTATACTCGCAGATATGGGTCTCTGGAAAAAATCAGACATGTGTGAGTTGACAATTGACATGAGGCAACACCTATGGTTTTCTTTGCAATGCACACGGACTTGAGGATGTATGTTGATATCAATTCATTGGCTTAAGTAAAAATGGTCAATTACCATATAAACGAGATAAGAAAAAAGATCAAACCATTTAAGGCAGCATCAATATCCATGTCGCACCGTAAAATTTCCGCGCTCACCCTCTCATGTTGCTCACACTGAGTTTAAAAAAAATCAAAGCGAAATTTACATCATCAGCTGCAGTGGTAACTACTACTCAGTAACTAGCATCGGTAGCAAGTGAAATGCACTTCTAAAATAAGAAATATGACAACTAAAGAATTAAATCTCCTCTATCAACTCCACAATGAAAGCACACAATGAAAGTCCACAATGAAAGCACATAGAAGAGAAGAAAAAAGGATTGCAACTATTGTACCAAAAAAACTAATGTGATCAAACGAATCGAGCGGAAGTACTTTTCTAAAAAAGTAGGATTCACAATTTGTGAATTTTCATGCAGGTTACATATCATAAATTTAGTTATAAACCAACAAAAATGGATTTTGAAAAGTATTAGTTGGACACGTGATTTATGACATTGTACCTGGCCAAAACTTAAAACTAACTCTTCTTTTACCACAGTGAATAAAACTCTTTTTTTGGGACTTTATATTAGAATATAAAGAAGAATAAGAGGGTGTTTAGATCTAACTGCTTCTGCTCCTGAAGGAGCAGAAGCAAAAGTTGAGTGTTTGGGTGAAAGTGCAAAGGTGATTATGGTGCTCTAATTTACTCCTAGAATCAGTTTTTTAGAAGCTGAAGGTGACCAGCTTCTGAAAACAGATTCTGCTCCTGCTTTAAAAAAGAAGCAGAAGCAGAATCAGTTCCAAACACCCCCTAAGAGGCACTCTCGTCCAACAGGAAATCAAAAGATGATGGATACAAGATTGAAAGACAGATAGCTCATAAAGGTTTAATTAGTATTTCTAGGAGAACACAGGAAGTAGGAGGAATTTGATGACTTCAGAAAGTCAGTACCAGCTTCTGCCTTAGGTGGTAAAGAATTCTCAAGATAGTACGGGATGATGCATTTCCAGAAGTTGAGGTAGCATTTAGCCTCTCATGATGTTGATTTTGTGATATAAGACTCTCCATACAAGAACCGCCTCCTTGCATAAAAATCATGTCATTATTGCATCCATCATCACAAGGTTTTGAAAGAGATTCGCCTATATCTTCCTGTCAACAAGTGTATACATTAAAATAGCAAAACATCTCAAACTGTACTCGTCCTACTCATTTAAGAAAATTCTTTGCTAAACTTGAGAAGGGAGAGATGTAAAGATAATATAGTAGAAGTTTGCTACACAAGCTTTCAAGAAATATACAAAAGTACATTAGCATATTAAAGTAGCCCAGTAAGTCAACTGTGAATAAATAGATGAGGTTTGGTCGAAGTTACTAATTCTAGTTGGACAGTGCACATCTTTGTGCTTGCCATTTGATTGAGCTACCCGAGATCCCTGATAT